CTCGCGTGTTCATAGACTGCAAATCAGGAAATCACATAAGAAGAGAAAACCAGGTATATCTACTTTCGACTCATGACAACGCTTCTCAAATGTGTTTGGCCAAGAACACTCTTACCATAAAACCCACACTAACTGCACTGGAGAGCTGTGTTCTCTGGGAAGCAGAGGCCGTCACAATAACAGACGTAGGAATCAGTCTTTCGTGGGAATTAATGTAGCATTACATTACTTACACAGATGAGTTTCTCTGACCCCAAAAACTTCATGTATTTGCTTTCATAAATGCCACAAGTCCAGCAGGATACACAAAAATGAACACATCTCACACTCAAGTACACAACAAATTCCAGAATAAATCTACTATGCTTTATAATAAAAGCATCAGTTATTCATTGAATATGATTTCCCCAGGACTGGAAAGATGGGTCAGTCGTTAAGAGACACTTGTTATTCTTGGCAAAGGACCAGAATTCAGTTCTCAGCACCTGTATGCCAGTACACAGCCATCTGTGACTCCAGTACCCAGGGACCCATTGAGGGTGTCAGGTATGTGCATGGGGCACATGTATGCACGCAAAACACCCATACACATAAAATAATAGACCTTTACAGATATTTTCACAATTTCCAAGGTATGCATGAAAACCAATGCGACCAAGTCGGGAAATACTAAAAAATCTAGATACACATGATTATAGCCAGTCACAACTATGGCAGAAAAGATTTCCTGATCCCCCTTCCCTGGCTGCTAGTCATCCTTGTCAGTGCTCCCTAGTGCTCCAACTATGGACTTCCATATCTCTTGGTTGCTGGTGTGAAGGAGAATGGCCCAGATGGGCTCATATATTTGAATTCTCTGATCCCTCGTTGATAGAAATTTTTGGCAAGAATTAGGAGATGTGGCCTTCTTGGAGAAAACATGTCATTGGGAGTGAGCTTTGAGGTTTCATCCCAATTAGCGCTTCCTCTCTCCCTCTCCCACAGCAACTCTTACAAAGAAAACATTTAATTCTGTTGGCTCACTTACAGTTTCAGAGGTTCAGTTCATCATCATCATGATAGGGAGCACGGTGACATGCAGGCTGACATGATGCTGGATATATCTTGGTTTCCAGGCAACAAGAAGTTGACTGACACACTAGGAGGAAACTTGAAAGCCTGTAGTATCCAGCATCCAGGACACCACAACGCCCAGGTACCACCCAGCTTTCCGTCTGTTCAATGTTTGGAGGGAAGTGTGTGGATTAAGAAATGGCAAGCATCTCTCAATCTTAAGGAAATAAAAGGAAAAAAGAACTAGCAGGCAGAAAAATTAAAGATACAAAAAAAAAAGGACAGAGACACAGACTACAGTTGGGAGGGCATCCAGTGAATACTGAAGTGCCTGTTTACTATGCACAGATGATGGGGGATGTCCTCCTGTATGCTGTGACTATATATTTCTCTTATTGGTTGATGAATAAAACTGTTTCCATCAATATACAGGCACGATGAAGCCAGGTAGGAAGTATAAGTGGGGCTACTAGGAGAAGACTGGAAAGAGGAATATGGAGAGGGGGTAGAGAGAAAAGAGTCATGTAGCTGCCGAAGATAAAAGTGGCTCCAGCATCACTGGTAAGCCAAGACCATGTGTAAATACATAGATTAATAGAAATGGGATAATAATTAAAAGAGAGCTAGTCAATAAGAAGCCTGAGCCATTGGCCAAACAGTTTATAATTAATATAAGCCTCTGTCTGTTTATTTGGGACTAAGAAACTTTCGCCTACACACAGCCTTTTTATACCTCCATCAAAAGAGGAGAAGGAAAAAGGCTTCCTTACCAAGATACAAAGAACAAACAAGCATAACTACCTTCTCAATACCCAAAGCATCAAGTAACTATCTCTTAAATATTCTGTTGTTTAGGCAGGACATGTAGCTAAGTGAAGTATTCTATTATTGGGCAGGACATACAGTGACCACATCCTACACCTGATGGGGAAGTTCTGTGTATATGTCAATAAAGCACTGTTGGCCAATAGGGAAGCAAGATAGGTGGGACTAGGAGTCAAGGAGGACTCTGGGAAGGAGAAACACAGAGAGTCACGATGTAGCCGCCATAGGGATAAGAAGTCCGGACCCTTTCTCCGTTAAGAGAAATACTTAGATTAACAATTGTGGAGTAAATACTTAAGTCAGAGATAGCCAGTAAGAAACCAAGCAAACTGCCAACATCTTCATAATTAATATAGCCTCCTGAGTATTCATTTGGGACTGATGTGGCTCTGGAACCAGGCTGGCAGGAAGGCTTCTCTCTACATACACCAAGGATCCTGTTGCATTCGCATCTTAGGCCAGACATCCTGTTGTTTCACCATTAAAGAGCAAGAACAGGCAAAAGCTCTCTGACTTTAAGTCAAAATGAAGTTAAGCCATTTCTATGGGCCCTAACAAAAGCTCGCCCCCACAGTGCACATTTCCTCCAAAAGACCATACCCACTCCAACAAAGGCGCGCCTCCTATAGTGCCACTCCCTATGATATTTGGGGGGGGGGCAGTTACATTCAAACTACCACATTCTACTCCCTGCCCCCCATAATGGTGTAATAATATCATAATGTAAAATACGTTTAGTCCAACTTCAATATTCCCCATAGCCTACAACCATCTCAACAATGTTTAAAAGTCCAAAGTTCAAAATATCTTTTAAGATTCATGCAATCTCTTAACTGTATTACTCCAAAAAATCAGAATTAAAAAGAAGATCACATATTTCTAACGTATAATGGCAAAATATATGTGTCCATTCAAAAATGCAGGGAAGGGAGCTTAGTGAGTAAATACTAGACCAAAGCAAGACCAACTGGGCAAACTCCAAATTGCATCTCCATGTCTGATGTCAAAACGCTCTTCAGCAATCCAACTCTGTTCAGTTTTGTTGACTGATACACACTTCTTTCTCTTGGACCAGTTCTACTACTCTCTCAGCAGGTATCCCATCTTTAACATTTTGGGTTCTCCAAGGCAATCCAGGCTTCAATTTGCCAGCTTCCCACAATGCTCTCTAATAGGGATACCCTTGACATATGCCTGACCTCAATGGCTTTCCTCAGGCCTATGGACAAATTTCATAACCCATTTCTTCTATACTTAACTAACGCCAGAACCATGAAGATCAAGTTATAAGTTCTGCTGTTTATTGGGGCTGGAACCTGGTCTCTGTGTTCAATTACATCTTCATCAGCTTTCTGTTTTCAGTGCCTAAGCTTGGCTGTCCTGAATATCGCTCTATAGACCAGACTGGCCTCAAACTCAGAGATCCACCAGCATCTGCCTATACCCCGTGCTGGTATTACAGGTGTGCCCCACCACACACAGCCCTAAAAGTTTCTTTAGTTCTTTTTCACAAGTTGGAAACTTAGCTGGGAGGGAGCTGGGAGGGATCTTGCCCTGAGACATAACTCCCTTTATTCCATTTCTTAATCTATTCATCTCCTTGAACGCAGGATTTAGCTCCATTCCACATCCTGGTGCTCATTTTTTTCCTCAAAATTTACATTTTGGAATTTTCCCTGCTCGGTTTGCTCCTTTTCATTATAAATATTCATTAGGGTTATCACTAAAACCACATGGCAGAGTCTATACTAGGCTGTTTTGAGATTTCTTCTACCAATGGAATTCATCCAAAACTCTTCACTTTAGCCTCAGGCAGACTCTTTGGACAAGGGCAAAAGGCAGCCACTTTTGTAACATGATAAATAAAAAACCCAGAGACTGGTATTGGGGTTCAAGCCTCAGAAAAGCAAGTCAGCCAAGCCACTAGCTCTTACCTCTACCTCAGGCTGAAAAGATTGATCCTGTCTCTACAATCTCACCAAGTCTCAGACTGCTGCCTCTCCTCAGCATGGCTAGAGAATGAATGCTTTCCTATTCTCATTGTGGCTGGAGAATGAATGCCAGCTCTGAGACCCTGTACCTGTCTTAAATACCCCTCACAAGTCCTGGGATTAAAGGTATGATATCTGTTACTCTTTTAGACTTATTCAATTTCATGTCACCTTGGGTGGTCTTGAAGTCTAAAGAGATCCATCTGTCTTTATCTCCTGAGTCCTGGGATTAAAGGTGTGTGTCACCACTACCTGGCTTCTGTGGCTAACTGGTATAACTACTTTACTATTTTGATCTCTAGTGGCTTTAATAAATCATAAAAAATATATCACCACACACTTTCTCCGCCAAAATGTCATTAAGAACGATCTCTAGGCAGCGTACTAAAATTCTTCTCCTCGGAAACCTCTTGAGTGAGCCTCCCCACAGTTCATCAGATCACATTCAACACCACTGTCTTCCACGCTCCTACTAGTATGGCCCATTAAGCAGAACTTAAAGAGTTCAACTGCTTTTCTAATCCACTATCCTAAGGTCCATATTCCTTCAAACAAATGCATGGTCAGGCCTATCACAGCAATGCCCCGTCCCTGACACAAACTTCTGTCTTAGTTAGGATTTTTATTGCTGTGAAGAGACACCATGACCACAGCAACTCTTAAAAAGAAAACATTTAATTGTGGTGGCTCGCTTAGAATTTCAGAGGTTCAGTTCATTATCATCATGATGGGACCCATGGTGACATGCAGGGAGATGTGGTGCTGGCTACATCTTGGTTTGAAGAACAGGAAATCGACTGGCACACTGGGCTGATGGGGATGTCCTTTTGTATTCTGTGAACATTTATGGCAGGACAAGGACAAATCTCCCCATGAAGGTCCCAATCCAGCCCTGAGAAAGCTGCCAGCTGCCATGGGCTCGCTCAAGTCAAGTGGGCCAAGTCGGACTCCCTGCTACTCCCCTCCACTCAGTGCCAGTGCATTACACAATACCTAGAACCTTTTTCTTTGAATTAGGTGGTTTGACCCAGCTTTTATTTAGACTAAGGGATGCACTCCCAGACCTCGAGATTTCATAGATCTGGCACATCAAATCCAGCTCACAGCTTCAGCCTGCAGCTCACGGCTCCAGCCTGGCTAGCTCAGTCAGTAGAACATGAGACTCTTAATCTCAGGGTCATGGGTTCATGCCCCATGTTGGGCACCATTTGAAGATGGAGTTTCTTTCCAGACAGGTCCCACAGCCGTTTAGTTTCAAATAAATACACAGAGGCTTCTATTAATTATAAACTGTTTGGCCAATGACTCGGGCTTCTGTTAGCTAGCTCTCTCTTAAATATTAACCCATTTCTATTAATCTATGTATTTCCAAAAGGCAGTGGCTTACCCGTAATGCTCCGACATGATACTCCTTTGGTGGCTACATGGCGTCTCCCTGGTGACTCTCTGCATTCCTCTTCCCAGCCTTTTCCTAGTCTGGTAGCCCCACCTATATTTCCTGCCTGGCTACATCCTGCCTGTACATTGGCCAAAACAGCTTCATTCATCAACCAATGAGAGAAACATATATTCAGAGCATACAAAGGACAACCCCCATCACTGCACAATATTCAGAGCACAGGAAACCTGAAAGCCCACCCCCATGGTGACACACTTCCTCCAACAAACCCACTCCAACAAAGCCACACATCCTACAGTGCCATTCCCTATGAGATTATAGGGACCGATTACATTCAGAGTACCACCGGCTCTTAAAATATTTCTGCCCCTTCTTCTATGATACTAGCTGAGCTTTAGATGTCGGGGTTGCGTTATAGTTGTATCAACTGGGGCTTGGGTATTCCAGTCAGTGCTTCTCCACACTTGGACCAGTAGCACTCAAATCATTCAGCCTTGATCATCCCAGGACCTCCCTCTCATTTCTTCATCTCCAATGGACTGTCTTAATATGGATAGCCTAAGACTACCAGAAAGGCCTCGGTGTTTTCCTTCATTAGAATTCCTCAGGTCAGTTCTGCCATGTGCCTCAAAGAGAAAATCTTCTGCTCCCACACTCACCCAAATAGGGTGGAATGGCCCAAATGTTGTTTGGTGGTGTAGTTTAAATAATCTGATGTTATGTAACATCCATGGGCTCACAATAAAATTGGAACTGGGTTGCTATTTTCAGCCAATGTCCTGGAAGGCATTTGGAAAAAGCACACCCAAAATCTGAGGGGAAAAAAATTAGAAAGCCTCGTGATTTCAAACTTATAGAGTATTTGCCAAATTGTCTTAGAGGAACAAACTTATCTTTGGAATAAGACGTTTTAAAATAAATTGTTATAAGCCATTTTTTTGTTTTGTTTTTCAAGACAGGGTTTCTCTGTGGCTTTGGAGGCTGTCCTGGAACTAGCTCTTTGTAGACCAGGCTGGTCTCTAACTCAAAGAGATCCACCTGTCTCTGCCTTCCGAGTGCAGGGATTAAAGGTGTTTGCCACTACCGCCCAGTTTATAAGCATATTATTATTTACCATTATTTGGTAGCTAGATGGTCAGTGATATAATTATTGTTTGACAGGAAATATGGGCAAAAGTGGGAAAGATTTTGGCCTTCGTAGACACAGTCTCCCAACTTTATAATCTCCTCTTAATACTTCAGTATTGACTGCTAATACAATATAAAGAATGACAAACTCAAAATTACAATAAAATATGCATAATTTAGTCTCTTAGAAGGTCTATAAACACTGTGTGGAGTTTTCAGCTTGTTACATGATGCTGCATCTGAAATCATATTTCTCTGATGTGTTTATCTCAATATTATAATTGTAACATGAATTCTTCTGCATTTATTTTGTTTACAAAAAAGCATTTTATTAATTAGTTATACCATTCTCAAGGGTATTGGATTGTTTTAGAACCTTTAGTGTCAAAATTTCTGCAAGTATAAAACTACAACTCATTTGCAAGAGAAACGAAGTGTTATTAAATAATTTCTGAATACTATTTAAAGGGCAAAAGTACTCCTAAGAAACATACTTCCGAAGCATTTCTAGCCAGTGAAGCACTTATGAACTTTTATTGCCTGACATTAGCATCCAATGTTGATTCTTTTCACAAAAACAGAAAGTAGGGATCGGAAATTTGTATTCTGTCATTATGAAGATATCAACCCAAAAATTTCAGGTTATACTATGATAAAATCATTTTTAATTATTGCCTTGTTTTTGTTTTGTTCATATATATTATCAAGTTGATTATGTTGAATCTTTGTATGGAAATGTAATGCATATATTGTTTCCATTTGGAAGCATGACTAATTCTTGAAATGCTTAGTTCTATGCATTAAAAATTTTTTTATACCAACCTTATGCTTATTGGAGTTTTGTACAAGTGACTCACTTAAGAACTGATTTTTAGGGGCTAGAGATAGCTCAAGGTTAAGAGTACTGGCTGCTCTTCCAGGGGTTCTGAGTTCAATGCCCAGCAACCATCCAGTGGCTCACAATCATCTAGTGGGATCTGATGCCTTGTACTGACATGAAGGCATACATGAAGATAGAGCACTCATATACATAAAATAAATTAAAAAAATTTTTTAAGGAACTGATTTTAAGATGAGTTTCTTCAGAGAAACCTGAGTTTGTTTCTAAAAATTAACTATGGAAACAACCTGACTAGATTGGAGCAATGAGATCAGTCATGGAAATTCTGGCCCTAAAGACAAGTTTAAGGCTAGCAATATCCAACACTGGAGTCCTGAGCCTCAGGCCCAGAGCAGGATCAGTGAGAGGCCCAAACCCCAGCTCAGAAGCAACATCAGAGGGAGGCCTGAGCCTCAGGCCCAGGAGTGAGGAGCGGTCACTGAATGAGACAACAGCAGTGGTTTCCGGCAGATTCTTCCAGAAATTATCGCAAAAAGTTCCTCTGGAAAAGAGCACCCTTGTCCCAGCATCCACTGCCATTTGTCAGTTGGAGATACTCTGCTGCTACATCGACCACTGGACCCTCAGCCCCACCTACACTTCCAGTGGGAGGAGCATCCACCAAAGCTGTAGCCTCACCTGTATCTCAAGGGGCGACCACCTGAGCCTTGGGCCCACTTCCACCAGGATGAGCGTTCACCGGAAGCACTGTTCTACTGAAAAACCTCACCACACCCCCCTCCTTTTTGAGAAGGTCGCCTCAGTGGAAAATTCCCCAAGGTCCCTTCCCCTGGACAGGGAACAAGGTCTAATTAAAAAGAACATCTGGTCCTGAGTGCTAATGAAGGAAACCGGCAGGCTGTAGAGATAAGTGTAAATCTGACCTTGTGGTTTCTCCAGGGAGGATGAGTTATGCTCACGCTTCTGACAATCCCCTATTGCTTGCCCAGATCTACACCTGCAGTAGCTCCATTCCTTACAATACCCCTATTACTTTGCTTGCCAAAATTATGTATATAAAAAGAAAGCTGTCCTAGGGCCTGGGCGCGTTCAGTTAGCCGACAGACGCCTGTGTAAAAAATTAAAAACCTTTTGCGGTTGCATCCAACTGTCTGGTTATTGAGCTCGGGATGTCCGGGGTATTCAGCCTGAAGCCCGCTTACTTCAGGTCTTTCAAGGTCATACTTTAAAAACCTGTACTCCACAAAATTGGAAAAATTTAAGGAGATGGGCAACTTTCTAGGTAATTACCCTAAGGAACTAGAAAGAGTTATCAATAGTTTCTCAAAAAAAAAAAAAAAAACAGACCCAGCTGGTTTCAGCACAGAATTCTACCAGATGTTCAAAGAAGAGTTAATATCAATACTTCTCTAATTGTCCCACACAACAGAAACAGAAGGAACATTGCCAAACTCTTTTTATAGGGTTACAGTTACCCTGGTACCCAAACCACACAAAGACAAAACTAATAAAGAGAACTTCAGACCAATTTCCCTTATGAACACAGATGTAAAAATACTCAATAAAATACTGGGAAACCAAGTTCCAGAACACATCAGGAAAATCATCTGCCATGACCAAGTAGGAGTCATCCCAGAGAAGCAGGGATGATTCAACATATGAAAATCCATCAATGTAATCCACCAGATAAACTGAAAAAAAACCACATGATCATCTCATTAGATGTTGAAAAAGCCTTCAACAAAATTCAACACCCTTTCATGATAAAGGTCTTGGAGAGAACTGGGATACAAAGAACATACCTAAACATGATAAAGTCAATATACAGTAACCCAACAACCAACATCAAACTAAGTGGAGAGAAACTCAAAGCAATCCCACTGAAATCAGGAAAAAGACAAGGCCTCTCTCTCCATATCTATTCAACATAGTACTCAAAGTTCTAGCTATAGCAATAAGACAACAAAAGAAAGAAGTCATACTCTCACTATTGGCTGAATATATGATAGTTTACATAACTGACCCCAAAAATTCTACCCGAGAACTCCTTCAACTGATAAACATCTTCAGTAATGTAGCAGGATACAAGATTAGCTCAAAAAATCAGTAGCTACTCCTCATATACATATGATAAATGGACTAAGAAAAAAGTCAGAGAAATATCGCCTTTTACAATAGCCATGAAAAGCATAAAATATCTTGAGGTAACATTACCCAGACAAGGGAAAGACCTGTATGACAAAAACTTCAAATCTTTAAAGAAAGAAATTAAATAAGATATCAGAAAATGGAAAGATCAACCATGTTCTTGGATAGGTAGGATCAACATAATAAAAATGGCAATCCTACCAAAAGTGATCTACAATTTCAATGCAATCCCCATCAAAATCCCAGCACAGTTCTTCACAGACCTTGAAAGAACAATACTCGACTTCATATGGACAAATAAAAAGCCAAGATAACCAAAACAATCTTGTACAATAAAGGATCATCTGGGGGCATCACCATCCCTGACTTCAAGCTCTACTATAGTAATGAAAACAGTTTGGTATTGGCACAAAAATAGACAGGCAGGCCAATGGAATCGGATCAAATACCCTGATATCAACACACACACCTATGAACACCTAATTTTTGACAAAGAAGCTAAAAATATAAAATGGAAAAAGAAAGCATATTAAACAAATGGTGCTGGTATAGCTGTCTTTCAACATGTAGATGAATGCAAATAGATCCATATCTATTGCCATGCACAAAACTCAAGTCCATATGAATCAAAGACTTCAATATAAATCTACCCACACTAAACCTTATAGAAGAGATAGTGGGAAACACA